TAAATCCATAAAGTGACAGCATATCTCGCGACGAGTAAATTTCTCAGACTGATCCAACGATCACCGCGCTCACATTCCCTCACCGTCGATGAATATTGCGTTTTCCTCCTTGTTCCCGTTTCGAAGTCGCGGCTTATCCTAACCGTATTTTTCCCCCGCTTCGTCGCGAGGAGGTTATTCACGAAGTTTGAAATGCAGCCGGCGACCCGATGAAAAATTAATTCCGACCTGGCAGAGCGCGCGACGAAGATCGACCGGACGGTAAAACGCTTTTCCACATTTTCGCCAGGTTGATCCGCGTCGGGCGTCATTATCCGGCGCGCTGCACCTGACGCTCCGTCGTCCTTTTTTCCACGGCCGGCCCGGCGGTCCTTCGGCCGGGGAATTTCAACATAAATCCTCGCGGACCCGAATTCCGTTCCGATCGAGAGCCGCGAGCGCCGAGTAAATTCGAGTTTGCGGCGTTCCCGCGCTTAATCGTTAAATGACGTTTCGAACACCGCGCGGCTGTCCACTTTTGCCACGTTCTCTCTACAGCCCCGGCTCTCTTCTTCTTTTTCATCGACGTAGTCGCGCCTTGATCAATATTTATGCACGCATTTTAACGACACGGATGGTCCTTCATGGTCTTGCACGATCCATCCGCGTAGCTGGTTAATAGCGAATAATAAAGTGCCGGGAGAATCAGACGCGCGAGAGAATGCTCTTTTTTCCCCCTCCCCGCCCGAGCGAATTTCAAATATCGCGCCGGCCGCGAGCGGGCGAGCTTCCGCTCCGGCTTTCAGCGAGACGCGCGAAAGCACTTCCGGCGAGCGGAATGAAGCGAACACGGTCGCGGCTTAATCCGGTTTAATGCCGCGCGCAAAAATACGACGGCCGTTAGCGGAGCATTATACAAATTTCACCACGATCGCCGTTTATCGTCGCGGCTGATGATACGTACCGGCGGCGGTGTCGTAACTGCTTTACAGCGTTTTTTACACCCGCTGAAATTGCGCAGTCGGCTGCTTTCTTTTCTCCCGCCTCTCTTTCGCGTCCCGAATCCGAGAAATACCTCCCCATATCGCGGGGGGTGTCCGCGGGAAAATTGCCGGGCGAACGAATTGTCCCGAAAGCGGTGATAACGGACTGAATTTTCAACGATTAATTCGACCCCGACGTTCTATTTGGATGTATTTTTCACCGTTTCATTTTATCGAAACTGTCGATCTTTCTTTTTTTTTCCCTCGGGTGTAGCGAGCGATTAGGTTTCATTTAAAATCAAACCGAGCGTCGAGTGTCTGCGAAACGAGTGATCAAGATTGAATGGGACACCACGTGTCAATTTGACCGCGTTTCGTGCACCTGCACCGGCGAAATTTTCATCTTCAAAATCTCTTTTCAACGCATATTACTCTCTGATGAGTAATTCGCACGCAGTACCAATATTATCATTTACTTTTGCGAAACACATTAATTCATAGTAATGCCATGTATAAAATGTTCCGTCTGGATTTAATTTCGCGAGAAAACATCGCGCAAAAGAAGTAAAGAGTTCAACACGATGCCGGCTGGGAATTAATTAGCGGGAATAAAAGTAAATGATACATCACATATTTACACGTACACACCGCAAATTTGGGCCAGCAGAGAGGATTAAAGAGAGCGTAATAACGTTGCACATTATAATTCCATTTAATTTCAACGCATTAACACCAGTTAATGTGTTACGTTAGCGTCGATAAAAATATCGTTTCCCTCTCTGCACCCCTCGCAAAGTTTATTGGCAATGTTCTCTTTACTCGCTTCGTCCCATTGGTTTCTATCCGCGCGAAGGAGTCCGACAGCGTCTCACAAAGGAAAAACGCTTATTCGACGGCACGCGTATAAAAAGCGGGGGGAAAATCTATGTCTTTGAACAAGGATTCGATAACACGGTTTGTCGCTAAAGGACATTGACAACCGTCGTGAGACGACTGCACCGATCGAATTCGCTGCAGTTGCACCTGGAAAATCCGAACCGACGGCGTTCGTTCCTTCGCGTTATCCAACCTTGTTTCCTCTAACCTTGCGCTCCGTCGTCTTATTCCCACGCCAAATTCGACGATTCCGCAGCTTTTATTTCGCGGTATACACGCACGTAAATTGTAATCTCTCTCTCTCTCTCTCCCTCCCTCAATCGTCCAGACAAATTTTGTTTGCTGTCACTATATTAAAACAATTTGCCGTTCTAGCGAGATTTATTTTCTCCGTGTGTGCCTAAAGAGATACTCCTATCCCACGAGATAATAAACTCTCTCTGTCTTACCGACTCAATTATTCGCAAACGACTCCGCCGTTCAAAATTCACCGCGTGAATTCGTTTTTCGTTCGCCGGCCCTCTCGCTCCACCAAAAGACGCTCACGTTGAAATAACGTATTCGCATTCGCGGCGTTAGTAAGCTCCGCGCGGAGTCTTTGAGACGCGAAACCGCTGACTCAATTCCCAAAGCTGGCCCCGTAATATTCCGTATTTCATATGTCGCAGGTCTGGCAAGTACACGCTATACGCTATGGTACGTACGACATATTAAACGCTGTAGGCGTTTTCCGTGCGCGCGCGGCGCGATGCGTCAAAGATAATCAGGTCGCGTCGTGTTTTCGATAAACTTCATCGTGACGCAATTATCCCGCATGGTTTTCGGTCGCGGCGCGCCGAGAGAGAGAGAGAGAGAGAGCGCACGGTAGTTATAATGTATTTAACTATCAAGCGAGAATTTCGTGAATAAATAGCGGACGCCTCCCGCATGCGCATGCATTTATACGAATTTTACACACCACCTATCGTAAACCATACCATCGGAAATAGAAGGGAGAAAGAGAGAGGGAGAGAGCGTGTATAATCGCGAATGTGATGGATGAGCGTTCATCGATTCGCAAAATTAATTTAATAGCCGCGCAATAACGCAAGAAACGGTATTAAAGGGGGCCGGGAGGGGAGTAAAGGGGATCATGTTCTCGCGTGTTCGAAACAATACGATCGGTATTACTTTACGTGATCGCAATGGCAAGTATAAATCCTCCCGTCTGCTTGGTACACGCCGCCACCCGCTGATTATTCACCGTCCCGCTTTTGCCTCTACGTGATTATTCCTTATCAGGGAACATTCATTTTTTTTTTATTACGCATCGTCCGCAGTAGTATCTTGCTCTCGATACAACGAGGAGGGGAGGGGGGGAGGATATCGAATCGTTTTTCCGAGGGCACGACAACTAATTTAAATCAAAGGAATCGTGGGCGTGTCGTGTTCCAATTAAGCGAAGAATCTGTTATGCAAATCGAGCGCTATCGATTACATCTTCGACGAAGCGCCACGGCGAATTTACGACAAATATCCGAGCGACGTCGACAAGCCCGGCGGGAGGGGGAGGGGGGGAGGGACTTCATCGGACCGATTAGCGTGGAAAATAAACATCTCGAAATCGCGAACAACAAAATAAAGTTTCCGAAGCGCGCTCCGACTGTTGTTATTATACTCGTCGCATGCCCGAGTCGAAATGACATCGGTAATTCTTCCGTTTGAAGGCGGATTGTCTGCCTGACAGAGGAGGGAGGAAAGGACAGTTACCGAAACTAAAGTTTCCACGACGATAAGTCTCGTTAACTTTGCAGACGGTGAACCGTAAAACATTTTTCAATCGAGATTACTTCGTGGCTTATTATGTCGTCTATCCGTCGCGTGGCGGTCCGCGCGCCGTCTCTGCGAGATCGGCGGAACATAATTATCGCTCTTAATTGTCCGTCAATCGACCGGCACTCGCTCACGCCGGCGAAACCAGCCAGGGAGCGAGCAGTCGGTTATCGTCGTCGTTGTCATCGTTGGAGACCAGCCACGTGCTTCGTACACGTTCAATTTCCCAAACGCATCTACGAGACGACATCAATTTTATTTACACGCGACACACGAGGAGAAATATATTTGCGGCGAATGCGATCGCCGTATGCACGTGAAAACACAATAAATCAAACGGTGACGGCGACGTCCTACGCCACGCAGAGTCTGACAAAGAAATCTTTGCTAACGGCGCCTTATTATCATTCCCTGTCATGCGACATGAATATAATGGACGAGAAAGAGAGAGAGAGAGAGAGAGAGAGAGCTCATTGAACTGTATTTTCAGCGGGAATTCTATATCGTGCCTTTGAAATCACGCGATCTCGGCGCAACCTACTACTACACACACGCGCGCACACGGTGGTCTCTCTCGTCGTTTTTATTAACGCAAATCTCCCGCCTCTTCATTTATCCCCCCGGGTCGCTTTTGTTTCGCGCGATCATATTTTATACCGGGGAAAAAAGAAAAGTCACACGCGCAGCTCCCTCGCGTGTACACACGCGTTCGATTCGCGGCTTTTTAATAAACCCGCGCGTTCCACCCTGAGGTATTTCACTCTCGCGCGATCTGCCTGAACGTCCAGGCGAACCTAGGGAAGAACAGTCGCTCTATGCGCAATCTGCCTGTCCGTTCGTCCACGCGTATGTACGTTCCGAGCGGATCGTTTTTACACCCGCACTCTGGAGCGCAACGAAATTGTAAATCAATACTCGATAGCCCGATACGCCGTGCGTAACGTGACGTCCACCCGGGTGCCTTTTGCCAAAATCGGTGGGATAGCCGTATCCGGTTGTCGAAAGGAAGAGCTCCTTCTGCCGCACACCATCCGAAACGCTCTGTTTCTTTCCTTGCGCGTGTTTCCTATGTTTCCTTTTATTCACGCTTCGACACGAAGCGAGCGCCCGTCCACGTTTATGGACTCGCCGAATATCCGCCATCTCGCTGACACCGAAGGGTGAAAATCGGTTCTTCGGGGCAAACTCAGTTTCCGTTCGTTGTACACCGGCGCCGTCGTCTTACCTTAACTATATCGCACGAGTTAATTAAAGCCCTGTGGTATCGGTGGCGCGTCCGAAAGCGCCGCTAACACACACACACGCGCGCGCGCGCGCGCGCGTTAACGAGATTCTAACTTTTGATTTCAGTGCGAGAAGTTACGTTGTCCGAACTCAGGGACTCGATAGCGAGGTTACGGGAGAGAGTGAAGCTAGTATGCAGGACGAGGGGCTCGCCGCCCCCGAGTGTGCACTGGCTGAAGGACGGTGTACCGCTGCACCCCCGAAGAGGCCTCAGGATTCAGCACAAACGGTGAGCTAAACTGACTTTGCCATTAACCGTGCGCTCGTGAGCGTTTTGCCCTCTCCCTTCCTTGCACGACAGCTTTCGGCAACGGCGGAAAGCCGTAATAACACGTCGGGTCAAACTACTCAGACAACGAGCCGCGAGAGCAGCTAATTCTAGATATCCGCAACAGCGGCGACTACGGCTGTTTCCGCAAATTCACACAGTCAGTGCACGAAACCGCGCCGTGGTTCTCGACTCGAGGTGCGATCGTGCGAGGGTAGTTTTCATAATAATCGTATCAGGAGTAGAAGAAGAGGGCGGATTTAATCGATCGGAATCGAGCGAGCGGTGATTTTAAATACGTTAAAGATGAAATAATGCCTATTCGCTCGATTCTGTAATTTGTTAGGAAACAAGAGAAATGAATTAGCTAGCTCGCCCCTTTAGTCAACCAACTGCAGTCTTCCCTATTTTCAGGATGCGTAAGTCTATTTCGAGGGGCAGCGACACTGTCGTTACGGATTTACGCAATCGTGAGAACACATTTCTCGTCTCTTTCGTTTCTCTTTTAGGACTCCTCATAAGTTGAGGAGAACGAATGCGCTCGAGGTAAATGCACGGTGACAATAGGCGAGGCAAACGAGGAGAACGGCATTAAGGGCCGAGCGTTGCGAGAGTTGGGGAACTACTAGGAAGAGGGCAATGTGTGCCTTTCTCATAGTTCGATGGATTTTAACGAGCTCTCGAACTCTCGAATTGCAAGTAGCGTCGTGCACGCAACTTCGCCCGCGCGAAGCGTTTAGCGAAGACAGCGCGCGCGCGCGCGCGTCCAATTCTCCGCGCACTCCGACGAATGAAATGTAAAAAGCAGTCATCGTGAAAATTGCGAGCGGACGATCGCCGTCGGGGAAACTTTACGCGCAAACTTTTACCATATACGTTCTGAGGACGCTCGCGACGTAATACCATTAAGAAGTGAGACGCACATTCCTTGTTAACGTTACTCGCAACTTGCGCGCAACAAGAGAGGAACGAAAATAACGCGCGTCGAAATTACGATATCGTGGAAACGTTCGACTTTATATTCGTTCTCACTTCCCGCATGCATAATAATATTAATCCCTTCAGAGATACTGATCCATATGTGTGCATTTAGATACGTTCTATTTTTCTGTTTGAATTCGAACATTGTCGGCAGAAAATAAGATGTCGGTGAGTGACTGTTCGAACTGTCATCGTTAGGAGCATTTTTATAACATTCCAGTATTCACCATGGCTTTTAATTTTATTCGAAACTTGATATAACAGATAATATTTGCAATTTAAAGTAAAAACACACTTTTTTAAGATAACGGAGCTATATTATTTGACTTGTTAAAAAGAGCAGATGCGACTCTCACGAATTTGAACATTGTCACTAATTAGGATATTCATCTTAACGGACGTTACCGCGAGAATAAGCATTCGTCCGGAAATTCCACACGAAAAAGAGAAATCCCATCATATGATCGATACCGTACCGTATTTACGTCACTTTGAAACATAAATTCATTTTTTTTTTCCGATCGTAATAAATTCATCCCTGAAGAAGTTAATTACACTCATACTACTGACAGCGATTTCGCACGGTTTGCTGAAGAGCTGCGAAATAACTATTGAAAATACGACCGGGCGTTTACACGCTGCGCGAGTATCATTTTATTCAATCGGTCGTTTGGCTCGCGCGACAAGAGGCGGTCGTAGCAGCTTCCAGATTTACAATAAAACAGGCCTTGGAAGCTGAAATAAATGACGTCGTTGACAAATTAATCGGAATCATGCTCGACAAGCGCGCTCGATACATGTTACAAAGCGTACGTGCGCATTATGCAACGTATGGCGCGCGCGCGTAATTGCAGAGAACGCAACATCCGTTCGTGATCAATCACGATTTTAGTTCATCGCGCGCGATGTTGTTTTTCATCGATCGTAATCGCAAGCGAGCGGGC